AGAGAGAGAGAGAGAGAGGGATGATGTGAAGGTTAAGCTACAGAAACCGGGGACCGGTGATTGGGAGTGCGGGTATACGGGGCCTGACAAGCCCCTATGCTACTCTCGTGACTCGAAATGAGGACAGGATAGAAAAGGGGAACAAGAAGAGTCTGAGCAAGAACTGGAGACAGCAACTGAGCTTATGAATAAAAGCAAAGTCAGAAAAAACAGACCTGTGAACAAATAAAACAAAAGTAGGAAGAAATAATTGGCTAACGTACGGGCTGCCCGTGCGAAGATGCGTTTTTTGCATAGCTCCCCGCAGATTTTTGTCGCTAACAGTACTGGTTTTTCCGGCAGATGCTTCTAACTAAAAGAATTTCAGACTAGCGGCCAGGACTCCCTTCAAAATTCCAGCCTTCTGGCTTCTCAGGCTCCCGAGTTAGCAACTTACTCCAAACAAAAATTCCACGAGCGCGTACATGGGTACCACGCTTGGCCGGGAGTTGGATTTGAGCACATTAATACCCATTTAGATGGGGAACAACTTCTTAAGATTTCAACCTCGTAACTTCTCAGATTTCCGAGTTAGCAACTTACCCGAAAAAAATTCCATGAGCGCGTACATGGGTACTCAAATCTAGGCCCCGGGTACCACGCTTACGCGGGGGCTGGGTTCGAGCCCGTTAATACCCACTTGGATGGGAACGTCTTCTTAAAATTTCAGCCTCTTAGCATTTCTGATTCCCGAGTTAGCAGCTTACCCGTAAAAAACTTTGGCGGGCTCGTATGTGGGTAAGGACGCCCACTTTGGGATTGGAGCCCATACGTGCATGTAGATCAAATTCCCAAAGTTTCAACCCTGTAGCTTTTATAGGTGCTGAGATGAAAAATCGGTACAGACGCACACACAGACACACAAACAACCCCTGATCAATATGCGTTTTCTGCATTGCACAGCTGCAAAAAATGCATAAAACTAAGCCTATAAGAGTGGGAACTGTCTTATAAAAACTCTTCATCAGTAGGAGACATCCCTATTTATGAAGCTCATACTGAGGCAAAGCTGAGAGGGAATAAGTTCGATTGGATTCACATAAAAATTCCGCACAGTAATCCCAATGTATTACCTTTGGGCCTGCGACTGCGGACGACACTTACACCTCTGTTTTTTTTTTTGCCTCTAAAATCTCACACAAGTAAACGCTGACTCCATTCCCATGCATTTAGTCTAACTCTCTTTTTGCTCAGCATAATCGAACATATTCGCTCTCAGCTTCATAAATTTTGCTTTTATTCATAGATTGATGTGCCTTAACTTACCTTCCTTTGTTAATGCTGTGTTGTTCGTTTCTCTTTATTATTGTCTTCAGCTCCTGCTTTCGAGCCCCGGCTAGTATCTTCGTTCCCCTTCTCTACCCTGTCTCCAGGTCCTACCTCCAAAGCAGCCCGCAGTACTCTCCAGCTTTGCCCCCTCCCGTAACTGCATCCTCCCATTAATTATACTCCAGTCTACCCCTCCCTCTAGTCGGCGTAGCCCAGAACACCTATTAATCTCCAAATCTACCTCACCCATCCACCAAATCTGTGGACAAATGCATATTGTGCGGCCGAACCGATTTTTCATAGTTGCCTGTTCCAGGCCCTCTCGTGCTGTCGAAACTAGTGCCACACCACCCCTCCTCCCCACCAATCACTCCGCAAATCCCCGAGGTAACGTTTCCCACCACCTGCTGTAATTTTCGTGATTCGCACACCAGCCGGAGCCGAGCCGAGGTGCAGTAGTTTCCGGTGCGTTGCTCCACCTGCTTTGCGGTCGAGGTGTGTGGGAGGGTGGCCAGCTGTAGGCTAGTGTTGGGCCGCATGGCCAGGGCTCGAGGAGGGTAGGCGGCAAGTGGAAGAGTGGCCAGTCTAGTCCGGCTTCTCGAACTCCCACCCACTCAGACCTTTTCCAGGTAGAGCGGATGCTTGTATACAATTGTACCGTGTACGATGTTGGGAAGCCCTAAAAAGATGTGCGCTGCTCCCATGCTGTGATCTGAAGGAGCACGCCCTGAGCCTGCGGAATAATATGCTGTGATGTTTTGATCTGTGGCTACGTGTTACGGGGGAAATTGCCGGAACCTGGCTTGACCGACCTCATACACGAGTCACAAAAAATTTTTCCTGCTTGTGGTGGGCACTAAGGTGAGCGGTGTGTAACGCGTTACGCCACGGTGAGTGACAGGCATTCGAATGTGGCAGGTGGGAATGGACGGTGATGTGATGCGGGTTTCGTCCGAGACAAAGGAG